TTACACTCCCCTGAGTCGATCCTCCAGATATACAAATCCACAATTCGCCCTTGCATGGAGTATTGCTGCCATATATGGTCTGGCGCCCCTTCTGTTTGCCTCGGGGTTCTTGATAGGCTCCAGAAGCGGATATGCAATATGGTTGGCCCTACCCTGGCGTCTCGTCTACAGTCACTTTCTCACAGACGCACCGTCGCCTCCCTCTGTCTGTTCTACAAATACTTTCATGGAAATTGCTCCGAGGAGCTGCATTCGCTGGTTCCCAGACTTCATGAGTTCAAGCGCCCTACGAGGCTGGCATCCCGCTCTCACCCCTTCACTGTCGAAACTCCTAAATGTAGCCGTCTCTTCTACTCTAATAGTTTCATGTCTCGCACCTCTCGCCTGTGGAACTCTCTTCCCTTCTCCTGTTTCCCCGTGAGTTATAATCTCCAGCTATTCAAGTGTAATGTCAATCGACATCTCCAGTTGCCCTAATCTATCTACTACCCTCATCCTATCTTCTATCACTCCTATCTGATCTTCCTATCTTCTGTAACCGCTTGCGTCCTAGTGGCTTCCCGCCTTGCTTGGGGTGAAATGCTTAAAAAAAAAAAAAAAAAAAATGGAAACGGGCGATAACTAAGCAACATTAAATAAAAAATAAGTACTAGATGAGTTATCCCCAGACATGAGCAGTGAAGTAAGAACAGAATTCCCTGTAGGTTACCCAAATCTATGTACACCTGAGGAAGGCCGGACTGCACAACGGCCGAAAGACTGTGATAACAACAACAATGAAGACAATTGTTCGAATATAAATTACGTAAATTTACTGATAAGATATCAAAGAGCTGCTTGATAAATGGTAATAATTCCTTGAAAATAATGGTTAATATATAATTGTATAAGATATAGTTGCAATTTGTTTTTGGAAGAATGAAATTGATAGAAACACGGAGGTTGATTATAATTCAAGCTAAAGAATGCATTGATAAGGAATTTATTAGAAAACAGCGAAAGAATCTAGAACAAAGGGATTGTCAGTGGTCAGGAATTAATGCAACTGTTACCATGTTCAAATGAATACAGTTTTTTGCGAGATATCATGAAAAGAAAACCTAGTAATGATCTTCGTCTTTAAAGCCTGGAAATCATCCCGGGATCGCGAATGTCAAATGCTTATTTAGATTTTGGTAAGAAAAACTGAATTGCCAAATAAACAGTACCTTAAATCATCCTTTCGGTACAATGGGTTGATATTTAATGGAATGAGTTGCAGTAAGATTCATGAGAGGAATTAAGTGAGATTACTCTCGTGTGACATGAGTGGGTTCTAAATACATTAAGTGAAACTGATAGTTTTAATAACTCGTAAAATAATCCGAAATACGTATTTTGACAAATCTACAGAATTAAGTAGCAATCAATTTTGCGCATGTGAACAAGTAGAAATGACCTCCAATGCATGAAATGAAAACATCAACTGATTGGAGATGTGAGGTAGCGTAAGATTTTTTTGATTTTTTTATCAGCAAGGGAGTTCGAATTTTGAGTTTGCTTCCAGGGTTTTTCAGACATTTTCTCCTCATGTAACTATTCCCCGGATAATACTGAAGTACTTCTATTGACTAACTGAAAATATATGGAAAATATAAAAACAGACAATAGATATTCGTATACATCAGTGTTTCCAAACATAGGCGCTAGCGCCTCCTTATGGGCTCTGTTATGTTGGAAGGAGGCACACAGAGTTTTATTTTTCATTTGGGGCGCCGCTCAACATTTTCGGGGGTGGGGGCATTTATCTATTTTTTTTTTTTTTAAATTTTTAAAAAACTTTTCAATATTGGCTATAAAAGGAAATTTCGGAAAGGTATCTAAAGCTGTGGGAAGCTATGTAAATTTTCTTCCTTGCTTTTTCAAATTCCTATATGGCTGAATGTGGTTTCAAAGTAGTTACACAGCTTCTTACTAAACAAAGAAATCGCCGGCAAATTACAAAATGAGGAGTTCTACGATTACTTCCAAGAATCATGGAACCTATAGTAAGAGCTTTCGTCAGTAAGCACCAAGGTCAACCATTATACTGGAAACATTGAGATAAGCTATCAAATAAAAGTTGTTTTTTATTGTTGTTTTTTAGCATTTTAATCATTGGCATTTATAATAGAAATGAAAACAATAGTAAAATTAATTTTTCACTAAAACCTAAGTGTTATCTTGGTATGAAAGATGAATTCGGTAATTTAATTTGACGGGACTGGGGGCGTTGACAAAAATGTTTGTGTCCAAAGGGGGTTCTGGTTCAAAAAAAAATGTTGGGATCACTGGTATATATGATCCATCGCTAAAGATGAGAGAAAAATGACCAGTTCTTTTTACCACTCCAGAAATTGCTAGGATGTCACCTGTCTTGCTCTACCATTATAAGTTACGTCAGACAAAAAGAAAAGCGGAATATTGACCAATCTGGGCTGAAGATGACCAATCCTCTCTTGAAAGAGTTCAAATGGTCTTACGGAGCCTTGTGAGTGACAGTTTATTTTCCACTTTACAACCTCTGTAGGGGAGACATCGCGAACATCATGGCTATTTTCATGGCAGATGTTCAGACGAGCAACATTCCTTAGTTTCCCCATTTCAGACTTTACTTTAAAATAGGATGAGTGTGTGCGATGCAATGGATAGCGGCTCGGAATTTAAAAATTGGAGAGCCGAGTTCGAATTCCAGCAGTTCGTTATATTCACATATACGTAAATAACCTTGGGAAATGTATGCATCCATCTCCTCTCTGCTAAATAGCAGAACCTGTATCTGAAGACATTGTTATTCTCAAAAAAATTGTTAAATCACTTGGAAAAAAATTACTTTACCCGCTATGCTACGTAAAGGGGGTCGAATCATTTTCACTCTCATCGTATTCTATTGGTGAGGAAGATGCCTCCCCAATCCCAATGATCTTAACCTCTTCACATCGAGAGCCAACTGGTATCTGTCCTACATATCCCTTCATACATCTTCAGCTTACGCCCTTGCAAAAGCACGTTCAGTAATTCTCTGCCTTGAAAGGCTCTTGTATTAAATGTACAAGAGTATAAAAACATATTTAGTGTTTGTTAATGAGTTAATGTTACATTTTTTTTAAGGTGAAGACTGATCCCCATCTTTTACCAATTAGTATCTCAATTTAAGACAATTTCAGAGATAAACTTTCATGGCATTCTGAATTGATAGTCTTGCACGGAACTGCTATAAACATCGCTAAACAATCTTGTTAACAATGACAAGTGAATAGAAACGGTAAGAGCTCATCACTTTTCTTTTGTTTTTCATTTTTACAAAGAAAAGGGTAAGATTACGTCATGGAACACCCGAATTTTGTTAGGGTAAAGGGCTAGAGAAAGACGATCTTTAGCCGTGGATTCCCTTAGAAATTCCACAAATTCATCTTGCAGATTGTTTCGTAGTTAGCTGAAAGAAAGTCAAAGCAGCGCAGAGAGACGCACGAACATGATTTTTACGAGACGATTCTTCTGGTTTACGTGGTGTTGACAACTATGTCAGTTTTACAAGATTAACATCTCGCTTTTATCTGGTTCAGAATATTTAAAAACATTTCCAATGTTTTTACAAACATCGCGGACACCCATAATTTCATTTGCGTACACCAAAGTAATATAAAAAAAAAGTCATGAAAGTTTTTCGATTGTGTAAGTCAGGCAACGAGCGGTACCACCCCATTTTTAATAACGTGTCGTTCGAGACGATTTTTTCTCTCCTTTCAATAATCCGAATATAAATAGTGTGAATAAAATAATTTATGATTTGATATTTGTGCGTATTTTTTAAATTTAGTGCCTCTTCATAAGGTAAGCTACAGACCCCACATTGTGTGCGTGTGTGAATTTTTAACGATTTTTTAAACAAACGAGGAAACACAACAAAGTTAGGAAAAATGAAAGGCCAGTTCGGTGATTTATAAGCACAATCGAAAACTTTCTCTTTCCTTTTTTTCCAACTTGAAATATCATAAAACAGTTCCTATGAAGCCTCCTTGTGTATGATGACTTTTCTTTTATCTCTAAGTTGTATTTTCTGACTGGGAGTCGATGTCTCATTTTACTGATGGCAGCATCAAACGATTCCGAGAGAAAACAAAGAACTGAAATGATGATAAGTAACAAGTATAGCCACATTCCTGGCATTGTCTTACCAGTGTTGACTGTCAACAATAGATCCATCAGTTTACAAAGCGAATAGCAAAGAGAAGAATTTTGTCTGGGACGGGAGGTGCAAATGAGAAGGCTGTGTTTTTACGGTTAGCTTCATTCTTGTTTTTTCCATAATGAAATCCTCAATTAGGTTACAAATGACAAAAATAAATAAATAAATAAAATAAATAATAAATAAATAAATAAAGAAAGAAAAATAAAGAAAACATCTTACAAGTTTTCAACAGTAGAAGCTTTGAAAAACCCAAAATGGCTTCCACAGGTAAGTATAAAAGATATTCTGCTGTCGGCTCTTTCATTAGAAGAGAACTAATCAAGAGAAAAGAAAGAAAGGGAAAAACAAAAAAAAAAAAAATCTACGATCGCCGGCATAAAGAAGAAACTAATTGGCTTTGCGTATCAAGTAAGCAATTAAAAAAAAGAAAAGATTAAAAATGACGTCAAACATCTTAAAAAGTTGAAGAATTTAAAAAAAAAATAATGTTCAATTTCTTAAATACAAAACTAAACAAAACTTTTTAAATTAAAAAGGTAAACAAAACATTGTATATCACTTCTCTAAAAATTAGAAGATGAAATACAAGTGTAAATTCTCTTCGAGAGAGATGAGAAGGAGAGAAGTAGAGAAATAGTAGGTAAAAAGAAAGAAAGAATTACAGAAAGGGAAGGAGAAATCACAAAGAGAGAGAAGTGAGAGAGAGAGTCAAATAACAAAGAGAGAGTGGGGAGAGAACAGGGATAAAGAGAAAGGTAGAAAAATAGCAGCGAGAAACAAAGAAAGAAATTCAGAAAAGGAGAGAAACTGACAAAGAAGAAAAATGACAGAAAGAAAAAGAGAGAAATGATATAAATAGAAAGAGAGAGAAAGTGAGTGAAATGACAGAACGAGAAAGAGGGAAATGAGAGAGAGAGAGACAACGGAAATAAGGGAAATGACAGGATAAGAAAGAAGGAAAAAATGGCAGAAAGAGGGGAGAGAGAAAAAAATGACAGAAAGAGGGAGAGAGAGAGAAAAAATGACAGAAAGAGGGAAGAGAGAGAGAAAAATGACAGAAAGGGAAGAGAGAGAGAGAAAAATGACAGAAAGAGGGAGAGAGAGAGAGAAAAAAATGACAGAAAGAGGGAGAGAGAGAGAGAAAAATGACAGAAAGAGGGAGGGAGAGAGAGAAAAAATGACAGAAAGAGGGAGAGAGAGAGAGAAAAAATGACAGAAAGAGGAGAGAGAGAAAAAATGACAGAAAGAGAGAGAGAGAGAGAAAAAATGACAGAAAGAGGGAGAGAGAGAGAGAAAAAATGACAGAAAGAGGGAGAGAGAGAGAAAAATGACAGAAAGAGGGAGGAGAGAGAAAAAATGACAGAAAGAGGGAGAGAGAGAAAAAATGACAGAAAGAGGGCGAGAGAGAGAAAAACAACAGAAAGATGGAGAGAGAAAAATGGCAGAAAGAGGGAGAGAGAAAATAAAGAGAGAGATAAAAAATGAAAGAAAAAGAGAAAAATGAAAGAAAGAGAGAAATGAAAGAAAAAGAAATGACAAAGAGAGAGAATGTGAAATGACAGAGAAAGGGGGAAATGGCACAGAGAGGGAGAGAGAGAAAGAACAAGAGAGAGAGAGAGAGAAAGAAAGAAATCACAGAGAGAAAGAGAGAGAAATACCATTGTGAAAGAGAGAGAGAGAGAAAGAGATACCACTGTGAAAGGGAGAGAGAGAGAAATCCCACTGTGAAAGAGAGAGAGATACCACTGTGAAAGAGAAAGAGAGAGATACCACTGTGAGAGAGAAAGAGACCATTGTGAAAGTGAGAGAGATACCATTGTGTGTGTGTGTGTGAGAGAGAGAGAGAGAGAGAGATATACCATTGTGAAATAAAGAGAGGAAGTGACATAGCAGAGACGGAGAGAAAAAAAATCAAATATATCAGTAGGGGAAAACGAAATAGCAGATAGGTGAACATAGAAAAGAGAGAGTGGGAGTGGGTGAGAAAATGCCGAAAGATAAAGAAAGTGAAAAGATCGTCAGAAAAACAAGAGAGACACAATGAATAGCACAAAGTGAGAATAACTGAAACAGTAAAATGGAAAATGAGAAAGAGAAGAAAACTTAACCAGGAAAATAAAAGAACCTGAAGGCCAGCCAATAATATTCCATTGCCCTGTTTTGCCGTTTGATTGTGACAACCACTTTTAAAGGCAAGAAACAGAAGGCAAGAAACAGAAGGCAAAAAACTAAAAGCTCAGTGCGTGTGAGTGTGTAATTTTTTTGTTTCATATCTAGCTACGTTTCTGCTAATCTACAGCAATCTTCGCGATGCTGGTGGCATATAAGCGAGCGAGAAGAAAAAATATTTTGTGTGCCAACATAAAAGCTTTGTTGATAAGTCGTAGCCATAATTAATATAGTAAATTCTGTTAATAAAGATAAAATTTAAAAATGCAATTTATTTACCATTTTGCAAGAAACGATTTTCTTTTTTAATCTGATCATATTTCTTATTACTATAAATATTAATTTAGTGGGTAGATATATTTGAGTAGTGGTCCTTGCTATTTTACAAAGAGTGAATTTAATGTCTCCCTGCCTAGATAATCGAAAGTCTTATTTTTTTTTTAAAAAGTAAGATGTAATAAAACTTTTCATGATCTAGACTAGGGAATTTTAATTTCACTGTTTGTAAATAAAAGCCTTAATACCTTTATTTTACAGTTTTTGTCATCAAAAATTTAGAAACCGTGTGTAACAGTAAAATTGTCCAAATCGTGTAACAACAAAATTGTCCAATTGTTCGATTAAGCTTTGAACCGTTGTATCTTAGAAATGATTAAAGATATCTTACTGGAATTCTCTGACCTTTTTATAAAACTATTGAACTCTACTTTGAAAAATAAGTATGTATTTATCCCTAAAATGAAATGCTTATCCCTCTTGCTGTTGTGACCTCCTGACCGAGTTTTCCGTTCTACTTTTCCCTCTTTTTTAAACGTATTCACCATTCTCTTGATGGTTCTTTGAATGGACTTTCAAGATAGTAACCAGAGTATGAATGTTGGTACCATTACTGAAGACCGGAATGATCTTTTTCCTCTCAACATTGCTCAGTTGGGATCCCATAGTTGGGCTGGCACAAAACGATTTTAACCTGTTTTTTTTTCTAGCTGAATAACTCAAAATTTTTTCAGTAATTCTTACGACAAATGGTATCAAAATGGCTAAACATCTTATCTGAAAACCTGGCAAAAAAAAATCAATTAGTTTGTTTTATTTTATTTATTTATTTTTTATTAGATATCAAACATTTTGTGGAATGGACAATTATCCCATGGTGTTACACGATTTGGACAAGTTTGTTATATATATATATATATATATATATATATATATATATATATATATATATATATATATATATATATATATGAGAGAGAGAGAGATGAATATATTTTAGCAGCATTTTTTCATTGAGACCTGTTTCATAGAATAATTTAAACAAAAAGCTTGCTCGTGAATATGAAAAGTTTCAATTAAAATTAAGTCGACAAAACTTGTTTAAATTATATATATATATATATATATATATATATATATATATATATATAAAATCACTGAATAATTTAGATAAGTTTTGTCTACTTCATATATATATATATATATATATATATATATATATATATATATATATATATATATGAGTGCCAGACATGACATCCATCCGAGAGTCTAGATCTCACGAGGCTAATTAAGCCTATGACTTGCGTTCTTAAGGCTAATGGCCGTATCACGTTGAAACACTGGTTCTCGTGCAATCACCGAAATTAAGCAGCGTAGTTACAGTATAAAACTCGGGTTGGCTTTGTGGGTGTTTGAAAAACGCAAATGGGCATACTCGGAAACGGGCAGCCATGCTGAAGATAAATCGCACTGATTAGCATTGGGCCTTTTTTGTAGGGAACAAACTGATACACCACTATTAAATTGACTGTTCAAGTAGTAAGATAATCATCTATGGTGTGGGTCTCGCGGGGTGGGGTGAGTGATGGGGTGTCTTGCCTTCCAGCTTCAGATGAACTTATAAATATCTACATGTATTGTTCTTGTTTAAAATAAACCCTTATACTTTGTATGTTGCCGTTCCAGATGCTGTTTTCAATAATCACCCCGGACAACATTACAAAAGTCTTCAAGACGAAAAAACTCTGATGATGGCGATGATGAAATTCTGCAGAATAAGTTTAATTATGCTTTATTACACAAAGCAGAATATCTCGCCATCAGTTAAAAGAAATAGTTTTTATTGTCATTACAACCCGGCGTCGATGTATACTTCAGCTAGTATTACATCAAGTGGATTTCCACTTATATTTATTGAAGCCACTAAGTTTAGTGGCATTAATAAAATGGTAATTTTCAAAACCAACTAATGTTAATGAATGGCAAATAAATTAGCCTTCAGCAAAGTTGATTAAATTGCTTCTTTTTTTCGCCATTTATTTTTTATGATAGATAACCGCAGAATGTTTTATTTGTATTTTTATTAAATACATAATTATTATTTATTAATTCTAATCATTTGGTAATTGCTCTAAGTACCAGAATGATATTAGAATATTTAATTGGAAAAAAGACCGCGGAAGGGTAAATGTTCACACACGTCTTGATGAAGACACCAACTCTTACATGAAGGTCACGGAATTTATATTGATATTTTTATTTGATACAGTCAAACAAATATCTAAGACCTTCCTCAGGTATATATATTGATTTGAATAACCTACTGGGAAATCTGAACTGAACCATCTGTATAATCTATGGGGTTAGTCTCTTCCCGTTCCATTTCCCACGTCTAGGGATATCGACTAGTTTGTATTTATAGTACTGTTCAGTTATTTCTCGCCCGTTTCCACTGTGTCCAAGTGCCCACTATTCGGCCTAGAGGTTGAGCTCACAACCACCACTTTGATAAAAACAACAAACACGAGGATAATAGTCCGAATATAAATTCGGTATATCACGATAACTCCTCATCCCAGAATTTCAAAAGGAAAATATCTGAAGCTATAACATCCATTATTTTCTGTAAATAACGTTTTCTTTAAATCCTCATCAAGACTTCTGGATTGTGATTTATTTGAATAATCAGCAAATACCTTAGAAGGGACAACACCATCATTATCAGCTAGTTTTTTTTTTCCTGGTGATTACGCAAGAAAGAAAAAAAGATATGGAAAAAAATGTTATAAAATTAATTTCATTTGAGAAGAAATAAAATCCATCGAAAATAAAGCTATCTTCTGTTTGTGGACAGGAAGAAGCTATAGATGATTATAAAATTAATTTATAAATATATTTTATAACTAATATTTAAAAAATGTTCATATTTATAGTACTGAAATAAATAATATTTTAATTAAAATTTGTTATTACAATTGTTACTACATTACATATTATAAATGAAATACTGTTTTTATAGGTTTTATTAACCCTTTGTTAACATTTGATTATTCACAAAAAGGCCAAATACTCCGGCCGAAAAGTTATGTCCAAAACAATAAAGACAACAGTCCAGAATATATGAAATAAGGAAAATATTTCACCTCAGAACGAGAGCCAATACAGTGAAACTAATGATTATGTCGTTAAAAAGGGTGAACTAAAAATGATGAGAATAGTCCAAAAGAATATATATATATATATATATATATATATATATATATATATATATGGATGGATAGATAGATAGAGAGAGAGAGGGGGAATAATTGATTTATTTTTCATTTGATATTTTATTCAAACGCTTTTTTTCGTGTTTGAAAGAGACGTCCCATTTTATTTTAAACAGTGTGTATAACATCAATCCATCTTTATTATGATTTCATTATTGCACAGGCCGATAAACGTTACACAGATTGTTTAAAATAAAAACGTGCACCTATTTCAGACATGCGTATCCGCAAAAATATCGTTTGATATATATATATATATATATATATATATATATATATAAGTGAACATAGAAGTCAACACTTAGAGGCGACAGTCTGTTTCATGCTATATGCAATCGTCAGGCCACGTGTGCTGTTATTTTTCTCGGCTATTTCACACATGGCCTGACGATTGCATATAGCATGAAACAGACTGTCGCCTCTAAGTGTTGACTTCTATGTTCACTTTTATATCTACACACGCTCTATCTCTGATATTGAGCACTTTATCCCATAAATATAGCACACCTTAAGACTATATATATATATATAAAAGGAGGCACGGTGGAGTAATGGATAGCGGCTTGGACTGAGGAATCGAATCCATTACATTCACTTACGTGCTTGGTATTAATCCTCTTCTTCTCTCTACAGCTATCGATAAATAGCAGGACAGACTGGGTTCCATAGCCTTGGATGGAATTCTGAATTCAAAACCAACGGGTTGTTTGGGGACCTTGTGGTACGTAGTACACTAGGTCACTGTATTTAAAAAGTGTGGTTGGTTCTGCACTAAGCTTACAGAACAATAATCAAATCAAATGTGCTGGTGTCTGGGCTGTCGGTTCCTAGGAACTGAGTTGCTTGACTCTCAAACATCTAATACGACAGGAGAGTCTACTATATATATATATATATATATATATATATATATATATATATATATATATATATATATATACCCACCTGCACACACACACACGAGGGTAAATAAAAATTATCCGCACTTTCGACATAACATATCGTAAGGTTTGTCACACTGCGTGCTTCTAGTTGGTACTATTGTCGTCACGTGATCGAATTCTGAGCGTGATCTCATCAGTTTTCTTGTTGCTCTAACAGTGTAAACATGGACGTTCCGCTAGCAGTTTGCAGCAAGGAGGAACACATATATATTGGGTGTATATGGCTGCAATGTTTCATATATACAGGTTTAATTGAAGGTCAAGAAAATTTCTTTAAGTTTTTTTTTTTTAAATTTTCAACGTTTCAGATAATTTGCGGGAAGAGGGAGTTGAATGGTTTCAGCGAAAACGCAACAGATTGCGCATTGTCTACTGAGTGCTTTCAGGTTTCATAAGCTATTAAAAGAGAATTTTATTGTTTTGTTGATAAGGTTGTGTCAATATATACGCCTTGATTTCAAGAATTGCGTCTTCACGCGTCGGTGGGTATCCTGTCGCTTTCTACTTTTTTTTTTCTTTTTTGAATATTGTCTTCGTTTTAGGGTCGTTTTACTTTATGTATTTCTTTTAATTAGTTTTCAGTCAAACACAAATATAATATATTACGTTGAGACATAAGTAATTCCTGTCTTTGCTGAAGTATGAAGTTGATAATTAAGAACTGAAATTATTTATGTCTCAAGCATATATATATATATA